TAATGTAAAAAATATCTGATTAATTCCAAAATGATAAAATAAACAATAAGACAGACACTAAGTTTATTCTATTAGAGAAAATGGCAACTGCGATTATAATTTTCTTTCGTTTTTTGTTTCTATTCTCTTATTATCAACTGAGACATACAATAAAGAAGAAAAAAATATATAATATCACCTTATGTGACTTTCTGTCCAGCAATTTGTGTTTTTTTGTTGTTGCAAGAATTCTTTTCTTTTGTAAAATTATGTTCATTGAGGAAACAAGTTATGCTAAATATAATCTAGCCCCCTCCATTTAATAAAACCTTATTATTTATACGATACAAATTTAAAGAGTTATTTATATTTATTTCACATAGGGAATTTATTATTATTGTAATTATTGATGGTATGTCATTAAATTGATTTCTTACGCAAGAAAAAACAATATATTTTAACTTTGTCGTTTTATTTTAGTTACATAAGAATATATTTCGTAACAGAAGTGTGCCCAAATGCAAAGGGATAATAAATAAAATCGGTGGCCATAAATCAGTGACCGTTTCACTACGCTTTAATCTTCTCAACCTGAACATCTCTCTTTTATGTGTCATTCTAAATGACAAATTATATTTTGTTTCGTTTAATACTTAACAATGAAACATTTTTGACGATCGTTTAAAATTATAAATTCCGTAACACAGGCGTTGACATCTTTCTCTCCAAATCCTCGCAAGTCTCGTGGAGTCCGGTATTTAGGTCATATCATAAGGAAAAACCTGTCAGTATAATAGTCCCAGCATCATGAACATGGCTTAAAATTCAAATCTTAATTGATTAATTAAGATTGGAAGAAATATTTATTGCTATTCTTTAATTAAATATACCCCATACAATAGTCAGTTATTGGTTTACTGTGGTATTACAATGCATGCTTACTTTCAGTAAAAACGACATTATCATTCACGTATTGATTCGTATTTTTTCACTCTATCAGACTTCTTATATTTTCTAACTGTAATTGAAAAGAACATTGCATGTGGGCTAATTAAAAAATGTGTGAAATAGGTCAGAATAATACAAGGTCACTATAATCAGCATTAATTGATATCTAAATGCAAATATTTCAGAATAGTTGGCTGTCCATTATCTGACTCATTAGGGAATTCTCCAAACCCTATTTATCAATGTTTTCCTATGTTCATGACATTTCTATGAGTCCACCCATTTAAAACCCTAGTTTTGATGTTTAACTTGTTTCATAGTGAATATTCAGATGCAGATCCAGGAATTTGAAACAAGAGGCTCTCAAGAGCCTGAATCGCTCACCTGTATTTCAGAGGAGAAGATTTTTAAATGTTAGCAACTTGATGAACAAATTGTGTAAAATTGTCTTTAAAGGGCAATAACTCCTTAAAGGGTCAATTGACAATTTTGGTCTTAATAACTTTTTTGTAGATCTTACTTTGCTGAACATTATTGCTGCTTACAGTTTATATATATCTATAATAATATTCAAAATAATAACAAAAAACTGCAAAATTTTGCTAGAACTACCAATTCGGTGGCAGCAACCCAACAATGGGTTGTTCGATTCGTCTGATAATTTCAGGGCCGATAGATCTTGACCAATTTAACAATTTTACCCCATGTCACATTTGCTCTAAAAGATTTAGTTTTTGAGATATAAGCCAAAAACTGCATTTGACCCCTATGTTCTATTTTTAGCCATGGCAGCCATGTTTGTCGATGGATCAAAACTTCGGATACAATTTATAAACTAGATACCCTAAGGAACATTTAGTTCAAGTTTGAAGGTAATTGGCCCAGTAGTTTCAGAGGAGAAGATTTTTAAATGTTAGCAAACTTGATGAACAAATTGTGTAAAATTGTCTTTAAATATACGACCAAAAAATTTTCAATTTTTGCGGTCGTATAAAAACTGCAAAATTTTGTTAAAACTACCATTTCGGTGGCAGCAACCCAACAATGGGTTGTTCGATTCGTCTGAAAATTTCAGAGCAGATAGATCTTGACCAATTGAACAATTTTACCCCATGTCAGATTTGCTCTAAAAGCTTTAGTTTTTGAGATATAAGCCAAAAACTGCATTTGACCCTTATGTTCTATTTTTAGCCATGGCGGCCATGTTTGTCAATGGATCAAAACTACTGATACAATTTATAAACTAGATACCCTAAGGAACATTTAGTTAAAGTTTGAAGGTATTTGGCCAAGTAGTTTCAGAGGAGAAGATTTTTTAAATAGTTTACGACGACAGACAACGACGACAGAAGACGACAGACGACAACGACAGACGACGGACGACGACGGACGCCAAGTGATGGCATAAGCTCACATGGGGCCCTTCGGGCCCTGGTGAGATAAAAGGGGGTCCACCAAGGCAATGTTAGGAGTGGGAAGTGTAAAAGTAAATGCCAAAACTATATGATTATGTAGCTCCATCCATAAAGGAGATGCACCCCACTAAATTTACCTCTGATATGTGCTGCTGTATGTTGAACAACTATCAATCAATCTAAAATACAACTCATACATCGTATGGGATCTTCAATTAAAACTTGTATGTAGTTTATATCTCTCATTCCATGTAAATATCCTATAACTGACTGGAGATTTTTTATAAACTTTTAACTAAGGTACAATGGAAATATGCATAGTATTAATATAAACAAGGGTAGATCATGGATTTGTAATGTATAGTCTTGCTATACAAATCCTTAGGTAGACGTAGGGGTAAATGGAAATAATACAGCAACCTTTCATATGATTTTTATATCCTATATTTAGCCCATTTGACATTTCAGCTAACAAATGAAAACTCAGATTTGGGTAGACCTAGCATCAAGATACAGAAATTCCATTGACACAATGACAAATATACACTCATGCATTACTGCGGAATAAAACACATTCATTTTTGTGAATGAAATAAAAGTAGATTCTTTAGTGATACACTTGCACATGCAAGATTGTGAATTGACCTGATACTTTTTTTATCACGACCATTCCAACGCTACTGACAATATCAGCCAGTTCAGATCAAAGCGAAATCGTACAAATTACGATAACAGATAGTATAAAAATAATGTACTTTTCCATCATGTCTTTCTTATTAATCAAGCTGTGATTAATATCATCCAATTCCTATAAACAAGGGATCACGAAGGAATTACAATCAATTCCACAATTATAACATGCAATCTCTACATTTCATATCAAAATTAGTTTCCAAAATACATGTATTGTTAATGCCATGGTTAATTCTGTCACAATATTTGTCAACAGTCGGGTCAATTAATATTCTCTACAGAATAATTAACATTAAATTTTATTTACAAACTCTCCTAGAACTTTGCCTCATTTAACAGTACGAAAATGACAAAGTGAAATTGACAAGGAAAATACAAATCGGGTTATAGGAGTTTGAATGGATGATTATTACCTTAGAGACATGAAACTTTTGATATAAAAAATACTATAATGACAAAACCCTTTTAAAAGACTGATTAAAATGTCAGGTGTGTTTGGAATTCATGGTTTATTTTTGTAATAATTTCCTTTACCATGTTGGCTATGACATAATAATGAGTTTGAATGCAAATAAAACACTGTAAAAAATCTTTTCCTTTGTTCTCTGTGGATTTGTTGCATTTAAAACATTCTAATAAATATAGAATAATTTTTGACAAAGCAATAAAAGTTATCCACCTCAACTTACTTTTACTAAATCAATGTTAAAACCAATTGTTGTTCTTTTTAGGCCTTTGATGCCAGAATCTTTCTTAGTAATCTTCATACCAAAATATATGACAAACCAGACAATATTTTCTTTCCCTATTGAGAAAACTGATATTTCTGTGTTTGAGTTTTGGATCTTAAATTGGTGTGATATGCTGAGGTATTGAAAACACACAAACTCAATTATCTTCTTTTTCATGTATGTAGATATGAGTTTTACAAAACTTCCGAAACTAATGCTATGATTATAATAGTCAGCTGGGGTCACAATTGCCTTACTTTGATAAATAGTTTTATATACCAGCAGCACACTCTATAAATTCTATGGACACATAAATATCATTTCGATTTTTGTTCAAGTCAATCTATGCCAAGTTCAAATCTCCTGAAAATGTGACACACAATACTCAATAGTACATATGGAACAACATTCCAAAAATAGTTAATTCCTGGTTAATTCATGGTATTATATCACAAAATTGACCTCCTTTAAAACTAAATATCAATTTTGTTGCATATCAATGCACAAATCATGCAATTTTCTGGAACATTGTTATCAGTATTGCACAATTCATATTTGGTCTGGTGCATTTTATGCTATGAAATGTGTTTGTTCAATTACTTCAGCTTGGTCATTAATCTACAGAAATGGTTTCTAAATTTGTGAAGTATCTCTATGGTAAATCATGATGTTTTGTCAGGAGATTGGGAAAACAGTTAATTATTCAATGTTATAAAAAGCCAGCCTATTCTGGTATCTGTTAGTAGGATTTTTATTTTATATTTATTTCCTTCACATCTGGTATATTTGTAATCAATGGAGCAATTAAAAGAGATGCTGCATTATGGGTAGCAACATTGGTTTTGAATTCTGATTGGTCGAGACGTGGGGCCTGTGCAACATAATGTAGGAGAAAGGAGTTCAATTCTTTAATTGGTTTAGTCTTGATAGTTTCTGTTAAATTTATTCACATCTTATTTTTTACTCAAGGCAATTTAGAGCTTGACATTTTGTATAGACACCTGTCTATTATTGAAGAATCCATCTTGACTGCTAGTTTGAGAATTCTCTGATATTCAATAGCCCAAACCTGTCCCTAAAACCCAAGAGCATTCCTGGACTAATTGACAGCTAGAGGTCTTTAGGTTATTTGTGTCATTTTGTTTCTGTCCCATTGATGTATACCGCACACCTCTTTTAATTAATAGTTTAATACTACTGTAAGTCTTTCTAAAATACATTGTAATCAACATACCCATGTTTCTTTCTTGCCTTGAGCATCAACAAATATCAAATGGGTTGTCGTCAGATAGAGAGTTCCAAGCGTTGATTTCCTGGCATTGTATCTTTCTAGAAGCTTGACATTATCAACCTGAAAATATACAAGTTCAATAGTACTCCCTTTTTCAATTTTCTGATTCCCTCTCAAAGTTGGTTCTGTACCATCTGTTATATAAGTCCAATGTTTTACCATGTTTTGAGTGGATGACAATTTTGAATTTTAAATGGGCACAAAAATCAAAAGTTTGAAAGATGACTATTCAAGGATTATTTACACCATATAAACAAACATTATTTCTTTAATCGAAAGTATTTTTTTTGTAAGGATATCTCTTAAATTTCAGCCAATAAGATTATAGGAATCAATTTTTTTCCCTGCTGGACATTTTAAATTTGGGATCATTAGAAAAATAACAATTTCTTATTACGACCAACTAAGGGACAAAGCCCCATTTGCCAATGTTGTTCTTACTTATTCCAATTTCAGACTTTATCTACCTTGGCACTTTGAGCGCCTTGAGCAAAAACAAAATCTAGGACTTTTCTAATGGCCATTTATTCATCTCATTTATCTCAAATGTTTATATTATGCAAATATTTCTAAAGAATATTTGTAGTTCTTATTTTGGAAATTAAAATTACCATTTTGCAAAAATTTTGTACCATGACCACAAACCAGGAGTAAACCAAATGATTCAGGGCTAGTATTCATTACCACTTTACAATGCTAAAAGCATGTTTAAATGATATTTCTGTCCTTGAACAAACTATCGGGAAAGATAACTTTCTAATTGATAAAAGCAAAGCAATTATTACTAAAATATCTAACACCGAAAGTATTTCGACAATATAAATAGAATTTTTATTTCAAATTTATGCAAATGATGTGAAAAGTCTATTTCCTAATTAGGACATATTCTTTGTTGTTTATGTTTGCATTGACTAGATTTCTACTATAAGGAACATAAATCACAGATTTGTTACATAAATGTCTCATTTCCATATTCACTAAAGCAGTTTTACAATAACATACAATGGACATTTTTTTAAATCTGAAATTTAGATTGGAATCAACAAATTCCATTATAAAAATATGATCAAAGATTAAAAATAACCTTTTATCAGCTGACAGAACTCACAATTGTAATTCATTTTAGCAGCAGACCATGATAATTAAGAATGAAAGTATATAGTATTCCAACTTGCTCTGCAAACCTTGGTAACACTTGTTTACAGTATATGAGTTGCATGTGAATAACCATAGATAAACTGGTTCAGCAGTCATGCTTACTATTTTAAAGTCATGATGAGAAAAAAATTTCTAGAACAAAATATTAACATATTTCAAAACCATCCTTTTCACATATATAACATGGTGTTCAGATGTATGTTGGCTAGAGATTAACATACAGGATATGCTATACCCAAAAATAATTGTTTGCCAGTAAGTACTACTGGACAATTATACGTACAAATATTTTTGAGGCAAGGGTTTTACAGTAATTTGCTCAAAAGTCAAGTGGTCAGATTGTTTAGAACATTGTAAGGGCTGTATAACTCAAAAAAAAAACTTTAAAATAAAATCTGTGAAATACATTTAATTCCAGGGTCAAATTTTTCAAAGAAACATACATTCTGACAAGAAAAACTATCATTTCCAATGGCCTCTCCAAGATTTTAGGTCCCCTTGTCTGATTTTGAAGTATCTACAATCAATCTTTAGTATTGGAGGCTCCTCCACCAATCTCTACTCTACATGTATGATGGTATTTCTTTTGATATGATCACTAATTTGCCTTTCCTGCTTAATATTATTGTATACAAGCAACAGCATATTCTAAATCCCTTTTCTGATAGGAACGAACCATTCTATGATTTTCCATTTTTCATGCAAGCAGATGAGCCAATTACCTTATTTTGTTATCATTATGCCACTAATGAATGATTGAAAAGTTTTACTGAAAGTCACTTTTTGATTAGGCTCTTAAAATTATAATTTAATTGACAATGTTTAATACCCATTCATTGAATACAATATTTAACTTTAACTGCTTAATCTACTTCATATATTTTCAACTAAACTTGATTATAAAGCTGATAATATTTGTATATTGAATGATGTGCAATTCCAGACATATTTCCTCAAACTTTGGTTAATGGGGATCCAGAGAACCAGTACTTCTTGCAAATAAGGGGGAAAACTCATCTATATATTTTTTTAAAGTCAAATTCAAGCTAAATAATTTAGAATATATATATAGACTTTTATAGTTTTGATAAATGTACATGAAAAATATGATAAAGCTGCAAATTCCTGATTACTATAAATATTAGCAGCAACTGAACATGGAAGCAAATCAGCCGTTTATTTCTAAACAGTTAATTTCAGAAGCTGGTGCATTTTTTAAATTAATTTTCCAGAAATTCAAGTGTTTACATATTCATGCTAAAACTTAGACTGTTGAAGCAATATGACCCAATATGCAAAATATGGTCTAATATGTTTAAGGGGTTTCAATGAATAGGAACTGTTAATGAAGAATATTTTTTAAGAAAAAATTACCATAATTTCCTTAAACTCACAAGCAGTCTGAAAGAAAAATTTATATACATGAATAGCAAGAAGATATTTTAAAAAATGTAACCAAAATCTGTCTTTATGCCTGATTTAGGTGATTCAGTGTTTATAGTTATTTCTATTCTTTCAATGTCCATTTCCAATTGTCAATTTTCAGAAACATTGTAAGGGGTCTGATTCATGACATGAGTTTTAATAACAATAAGGATCAGATAAACTTTTTGATCATCTGTATTTGACAATGTTGGGACCAACTGAGTAGGGTATCATACATTTAGCAAAAAACATAAAAATATTTATTATATGACAAAACGCATAATCTATCTACAGAAAAAAATAGAGCAAAACACTTTTATTTAGCAAGAGTATTTTAATTTATCAACATATAAATATATACTAAAGCAACATACAGTATACATGTACCAAGCTAACATTGAAATTAATATGTATATATGCACAAGTAAAATATTGTTCTGATATTTCTAAACATCAACAATGTTGCAATTAAATAATATAAGCATTAAAAAGCTTTCTTGAGATAGCTCGTTGAATCTTACCCTTCTATTTATAGAATTTTCCGATGGAAAATGTAAATCCAACACATTACCCATATCATGAATCCATGTGTGAGCAATATACTCTAGAGTTTCTAGTTTTTCTTGTGTCCATTCTAACACATTCATTTATTTAATTTTAATATTTCAATAGATATACAAATTTCAATTAATCGGTGAGGTTGTTTATTGGCTTTCAATTATATCAATGTCCCATAATGGCAAAATCTACGAGTATCAATTGAATCCTGTTTGACACTCTTTAATCAATGAATTCTAAATGTAAAACAGTTTTGTTTAAATTAATGTGAATCTATCCCTGAAGTTTGTGCACTTCTCAAACATCCACAACAATACAAGATATTCAACTCCGCTGGTTTTTTATTTCTGCCACTATCACAGGCTGCTATTTACACTAAAAAGCTTTAAAAAGCAAGAAAGTTTACAATATCCTCCTCCGTAAATAATTAATTTACTTAAGTAAAAATCTCAGCGGAGTTGCAATGAAGTAAAAGTAAAAGCGAAATTGATTGTACCATTAAATCATCAATACCAATAATAGTCTTGATTGACAGGAAATGACACAGAAAGAGTTACAACACCACAAATTATCACTTATTCACTTGTTTTAAACTGTTTTTACCAAGTTCATAGATTTATTTTTTCCAATAATTTTATACAGTGCAAAAAAAAATTGCTGACTTTTGTCTCAATCCAAAAATATTTTAAATCTGACAATTCATCTATCAAAATTTAATTTTAAATAGTTCCTGTAGTAAATCTAAAATTAATAAAATGGTAAAACTTATAATTTCATATTCCGATATTGAATACCATCTCAAGACACTTCCATAAGCATGACCGATTCTGCTATCATCAGAGAAAATGTTTGCCTTATTGATCGACAATCTTAACAAACGATGTATTGATTGGTCAGATTTGTTACAAGATTCTATCATACCTAATAACGTCCCAAACATTTAACCAGGTCTTAATGAATCACTGCATTCATGATTTCATCAGAGATATTGGTATATATTCGGCACTGTCCACAGATGTGAAAAAAAAGAAGCTCAGCTTAGACAATAAACTATAAGAATTGTCAATAAAAATATTGATAAAAGCACATTTTTCTGATTCCCTTTAATACTTTCCTCAAGCCTGAATCAAGATCACAAATTAATCGAAGTAGTTTTTATCCAATTTTTTAATATTTTATGGATGTTTAACAAAAGTTAAAGACATGTCTAAAAAATTAAGCCCCTGAGACTGTGTATTATGTAAATGTAAACTGCAAAAAAAAAAACCAGCTTAGTCCATCTATCAACAAGAAATGATTGTAACAGGATGCTGTTACGAAGTCTCCCAAACGAAGCTCCCATAATTTGTCATTCCCAGGGTCGCCTGACATTGGGCAAAGTCCAGTGAAAATTGGTTTGGTCCAGTAAAGTTATATGCATTATTGATGCCTGGGGACTGACCCTGTATATCATTCAAATCATCTTGGCATGACAAACCAGAATATATATGGTTTAGGGGTGGGGATCTCGACCATTTACAAGATATTAGAACATTGGGGGTGGGGGGAACACCTGGGGACTGACCCTATACGTCATTCAAATGTTCGAGACATGAGGAACAGGAATATATATGGTTTAGGGGTGGGGATCTCAACCATTTACAAGATATTAGAACTTTTCCAAATGGCAGGGGGTCGAGATGACCCCTGGGGACTAACCCTGTATATCATTCAAACAATCTTCGCATGACAAACCAGAATATATATGGTTTAGGGGTGGGGATCTCGACCATTTACAAGATATTAGAACTTTCTTAAATGGCAGGGGGTGGGGGTGACCCCTGGGGACTAACCCTGTATTTCATTTGATGTGCTTTATCATGACAAACCAGAATATATATGGTTTAGGGTTGGGGATCTTGACCACTTACAAGATATTAAAACTTTCTCAAATGGCAGGGGGTTGGGATGACCCCTGGGGACTAACCCTGTATATCATTCAAACCATCTTAGCATGACAAACCAGAATATATATGGTTTAGGGGTGGGGATCTTGACCACTTTCAAGACATTAGAACTTTCTTAAATGACATGGGGTGGGGGTGACCCCTGGGGACTAACCCTGTATATCATTTCATGTGCTTTATCATGACAAACCAGAATATATATGGTTTAGGGGTGGGGATCTCCACCATTTACAAGATATTACAACTTTCTCAAATGGCAGGGGGTCGGGATGACCCCTGGGGACTAACCCTGTATATCATTCAAACCATCTTAGCATGACAAACCAGAATATATATGGTTTAGGGGTGGGGATCTTGACCACTTACAAGATATTAGAACTTTCTTAAATGGCATGGGGTGGGGGTGACCCCTGGGGACTAACCCTGTATTTCATTTGATGTGCTTTATCATGACAAACCAGAATATATATGGTTTAGGGGTGGGGATCTCGACCATTTACAAGATATTACAACTTTCTCAAATGGCAGGGGGTCTGGATGACCCCTGGGGACTAACCCTGTATATCATTCAAACCATCTTAGCATGACAAACCAGAATATATATGGTTTAGGGGTGGGGATCTCGACCATTTACAAGATATTAGAACTTTCTCAAATGGCAGGGGGTCGGGATGACCCCTGGGGACTAACCCTGTATATCATTCAAACCATCTTAGCATGACAAAGCAGAATATATATGGATTAGGGGTGGGGATCTTGACCACTTACAAGGTATTAGAACTTTCTTAAATGGCAGGGGGTGGGGGTGACCCCTGGGGACTAACCCTGTATTTCATTTAATGGGTTTTATCATTTAGAACATTCTCAATTAAAAAGATTGTGTCTATTACAAACGGTTTTCAATTTATAATCATTTGAAAATTTAAAAAAATAAAATCCCATAGGGTTCTATAGTAAAACCCTCTTTTCTTTTTGCCCCTCAAAGTACCCCTTTATAAACCCCATTGCACAAACAAAACCCTGATTGCACCACTAGACATGTTAGTCTAACATATTGTGAAACCCTAAGTTAATCTGACAAGCGGTTTTGGAGAACGGGTGCGGTAAGTTCAAATTTAAAAGCGGTGGAAGAGGAAGAGGAAGAGGAAGAGGAAGAAGAATAATAATAATAATAAGAACTGAGCAAAAACAATAAGTCTTCCCAAACTTCGTTTGGGAGACTTAATAAAACATTGGAAATGAAGAGGAAAAAATCAAAATTTGCTTCAGATGTTATTTCTTAACCATAAAAATACTTTTGTCAAAGCTTCAAAAAAATTTATGAAGGTTTGACTAAATTCTTGAAGTCTAAAAGAAACATCAGACTGTATATAAAATTGTAAATTGGATACCTGAGCATATATATTAATAATGAATTGTTAGACCTGGGTATGATCTAAAGAATATAAGATAAGGAGATGTGGTTTGATTGCCAATGAGACAACTATCTACTAGAGTCCAAATGATGCAGATGTTATCAGCTATAGCATGTATAGGTCATTGTATTGCCGTCACCAATGAACAGAACACATAATTCTGACATAGCAAGCTATAAAAGGCCCTGACATGACATAATGTAAAATGATTCATACAAGAAAACTAACGGCTCAATTTTATGTACAATACTAGTATATGTACAACAAACGAAAAAACAAATCAGATAGACAGTAACAAATCACTGAATCACAGGCACATACAGAATGAAGCAGGGTTTACCATGTTTAACACCCAACCCACATCTATCTTGTGTTTTCACACAAAACAAGACCAATACCAAGTCTGGACCTGTGTTGCTGCATGCAACTGATTGAGGTACCATGCAAACCGGAGCAAAAATGATCATTTCAAGACCAAATATTAAAATCATTCACTTAAAAAAAAAATGTCCTTGTACAATGAGTGTTGCTGAAATTTCAAACTATCGAAGTGGCTACACGGCCAATGTAAAAATTGCTACAACTTAACATTAGCTGCAGACCAAATCTTAAAACCCTCTTCAAAGAAGCCAAGAACACTTTGTCGAAAATTTGCCTTGTACAATGAGTGTTGTTAAATTTCAAACTATCGTCAAACAGAAAGTGTCTACACAGCAGATGTAAATATTTCTTACCACTACAACTCAACATTATCAAGCTGCAATACAAATATTCAGTCATTCCCTTTCATAGAAGCCAAGAAAACTTTGACAAAAGTTTAAATTCAAGCAGACTGAAAGACAGATGGACTGAGTTGAGCGGTTATTAGACCAGCTTCCTCTTTGGGCCAGGCAGGTAACAAAGGTAGAGAAGAAGTTTAAATATAACTAAAAAGCCAAGTCTCAACTGAGAACTCTAACATATCTACAACTCTACACAACACACAGCTCATTTTGAAGAAATTTTATTGTTTCAATTGATCCATACAAACAATTTTTTCCAATTTGAACCCTCGTCTGTACTATATTATGTTTATAGTACCATAAGTAATCATTAGAGCTCCAGGATTTACTGTCCGAAGATCGTAACAACAGTGACTTGTTCCATATTGATTATTCTTCACAAATACCACAATACTGTATTTATCGTGTTTAACCGGGAAATCATTTGCATTCCATTTTGTATGACGACTCTCCAACATATGTACAATTCTGTGATATCAGAAATGTTCTAATCTTTGATTAATGAAGAGTATTCTATACTTGATTAGACACAGTCAGATGCAAACTTTTAATGGAAAAATTTGGTCTGTTTTATTCGTGCATATTTAACTTTCAGCAATACAGTTATGTAAACAAAAATTATTTTTTAACTCAGAACAAGAATTTAACACTAATATTTTTACATGTATTAACATAAGATACCAAAAATCTTTTTCCTTTTCTATTACTACTTTCAAAACACAGTTTTTTAATGAAAGAAAGCATAAAACACAATTGTCTAAATACTGGTATATACCTAATAGTATCAAAATAGATTGCTCAAATATACAAAGGGGACATTCAAAAATCATAGGTCCAATTTAGAAATACTGCTTCCCTTGAAGCAATTCAAAGAAATATGAAATGAACTAAAAACACTCTATTCCCTTGACCCATGTTGACCTCTGACATCTGTCACTGACAAGTTGTAAATGGATATATTGTAGTCCTATACAATTAACCCAAGATTCTAGAAATGTCTCCGACAGAATATAATTTCCCCAAAGAATAATCTCTAACAATACATTTCTCCCAAAAGAGTAACTTTCTACCCATACATTTTCATTGAGGTCGGAACAAATTTTCTTACAATATTCTTTGAATAAATATGAATACATCTGTTAACTCATATTACTGAATGTGTCATTAGGGAACATCTTTAGAAGCTTTAATAGGTTTTGAGAATCAAGACGTCTATGGAGTATGGAGGTCATTTTATATGCTGTACAGTTCATAATGTGATTTCAAGCAAGGAAGACAGGTTGATAGATTTTTACCTGTTAATCAAATATCTTGGCCATAAAATATTCCTCAGGCTCAGATTTTTAATGAATTACCAATACTTAGTCCTTGGCCTGCATATTAATAAAAGTGGTAGTTTTCTAGGTTGCCAATCATGGTCACATAAGGAATTTCTTATAGAACATTAAAGCTATACAAAAAATTTATAGTTCTGATTTTTCTTCTTTTTTTATTTCGTTTATAGTTACATGAACACCTGTGACAGCCATGCTGTTTACTACCTGTGAGACATTAAATGGTTTCTGTTTCAAGATGAATAAAATGCTCCGCTGGGGCGCAGCTTGATACGACCGCAGAGGTCGAACCCTGAACAGTTGGGGCAAGTATGGACACAACATTCAAGCTTGATACAGCACTGAATTTGGATTGTAATTAAATATTTGACACAGCATAGGTTTCTGACACAGAATGAAAGTGGTCTAAGAACTTAAAAATTTTCAATTTACCTATTCATACATGTGATGGACTGTGAAACTCAGATCAGGAGATTGGGAAATTTTGGTCAGGAGATTAGGACTCAGATCAGGAGGTTTTTAATCGACATTAATTTTGTTGTAAATGTAACCGTGTGCTGTAAAAATGGTCTTTTAAAGTGTGTTTTCTTCAACTTTCCATCCAATTTATTATGTTTATAGTACCCTTGTACTTATAAAGTTTCTCCATCTTTATATTCTACATGTTCAATCTAACATTGTTTTTTTTCAGTATGTTCTTTAAATTTTTTACTTCATATTCTATAAAACAATCATTGCAACCAGAGCATTTGTTTAGCTATCTGCAAATAGTTTTTATTTTTTTTTTTTCTCTTGCAAATAGTTTTTATTTGCAAACTCAGAAAATCATTTTATCTGTAAAATTAGGGTCATAGTTATTATATAAATTTCAATTTAAGCCTTGAAAGGAAGTCTAGAATCCTCAAATAATTTTCAAATTATTATTTTTTTATTTGTCCTAAGACATTTAAAATCATTTAATAACCATCCTTTTATGATTATTTGTTCAATTTATATTTTATTTATATTCTTTTAAAAATTTTCATTATTAAAAGGAAAGTAACTTCAAACAGGATAAATCAAGGGAAGTAACCCAATAAATACACAGTTTTTGTTACACAACGGCAGTTAGCCTGAGGTAAAAATCGTTGATTACCTGTATGTTTGACACCCAAGCTGACAAGTGAAGCCATATAATTATGCATGTTAATTGATTTACAGGTAAAATATAACTTCAGGTAATGTCAGTTACACCAGATGCCTGAGATGATATGTTGGGCAGAAATTTTTCATTCATGAAAAATTTCATACACGGGATTTTTTCCTCTTCAACGGGAGGTCGGGAGGAGACCCCTGAAAACGGGATTATTGTACTCCCGTCGGGAGGTTCACATGTATGCCTATTCAAACCATATCATTATTATTTGCTTTTATATATAAATCAGAAATAACCAATTTAAAATGGAAAATGTTAAAGAAAAAAAAGGAAAAAAAAAATCCCCCCCCCAATTTTTTGAACCCCCTTATGATTCATCACCCCCAAACTCAATCCCAGCTTTCACTTTGTGGTATGGTACCTTGCAGTACAATTTCAGAGAGATTCATACACTTGAACACAAGTTATTGTCTGGAAACTAGAAAAATGCTTGTTTTTTGGCCCCTTTTTGGCCCCAAATTCCTAAACGTTTAGGGCAATTACCCCCAAACTCAATTTCAGCTTTCCCTTTGTGATATGGAACCTTGCAGTACAATTTCATAAAGATCCATACACTTACACACAAGTTATTGTCCTGAAACTAGAAAAATGCATGTTTTTTTTGCCCTTTTATGGCCCCTAATTACTAAAATTTTGAGGGAAAACCCCCAAAATCAATCCCAGCCTTCCCTTTGTGATATGGAACCTTGTAGTACAATTTCATAAAGATCCATACACTTACAAACAAGTTATTGTCATGAAACTAGAAAAATGCTTGTTTTTGGCCCCTTTTTGGCCCCTAATTCCTAAAATTTGGAGGAAATTACCCCAAAAATCAATCCCAGTATTCCCTTTGTGATATGGAACCTTGTAGTACAATTTCATAAAGATCCATACACTTACAAACAAGATATTGTCATGAAACTAGAAAAATGCTTGTTTTTTGCCCCTTTTTGGCCCCCAATTCCTAAAATTTGGAGGCAATTATCCCCAAAATCAATCCCAGCATTCCCTTTGTGATATGGAACCTTGTGGTACAATGTCAGAGAGATCCATACACTTACACACAAGTTATGTCTGGAAGTTACAAAAATGCTTATTTTTGGCCCCTTTTGGCCCCTAATTCCTTAACTGTTAGTACCATAACCCCCAAAATCAATCCCCACCTTCCTTTTGTGGTATTGAACCTTATGGTAAAATTTCATTGAGATCCATTCACTTAAACTAAAGTTAGAGTGCGAAAACTAATGTGTATTCGGACGACGACGACGACGACGAAAAATTTTTTTGCGGTCGTATAACAAGCATTCTGAGAGTATTGCATGGCAATACATAGTCCCCTACCGGTTAAGAATTCATTATACTGGAAGAAAATGCTAACTTGATCTATAACTTGTCATGATGTAAACTATATAATAAATATTAAGTCAGTGTCTTAAAGTGTGACGAACAAGCATTCTGAGAGTATTGCATGGCAATACATAGTCCCTTACCGGGTAAAAATTCATTATACTGGAACAAAAAGCTAACTTGTTCTATAACTTGTCATGGTGTAAACAAAAAGAAAATATCAAGTCAATATCTTCAAGCATGACTAAAAACAGTGTGGAAAACTGATTAAATGAGTGAATTTTTCAAGTCCAAGGACCATAACTCTGTACAAAATTACCAGACCGAAACCAAATTTCGAACTTGATCTGTATAACTTGTCATGATAAAACTATATACCAATTATCAATCAATATCTTCAAGCATGATGAAAAAAGGTGTGGAAAACACTTTAACATCAGATATGATTAATAGTTCTCTAAAATTAGATATGATGTAATACAGTGTATATCTATTTTCAAATTATAATCAAATATAATTAATAGTTCCAAATATTTTTTCTTTTATTTGTCACAAACTAATATAGATTTGTAACTTATCTATAAAATGTCAACAATTTTTATCTACACAATGTAATGTAATACATACATTAATAAAAATATATTATCTAATTAAAGGATTTCACTTCATACTTTTTTTTATATATATATAGCATTCAGAAAATTAATTTATACAAAATAACAAACAAACCTGCCAAAAAATTCTTTAAATAATTTACCAAAGAATGTCTTTTAAAAAATGAGTTATCTCTCTTTGTACAGAAATATGGTTTAACATAGTTATAGTACTCTAACATTAGATATGGTCCAGAGTTATGGAACAAAATTTGAACTTGATCTATAACTTGGCATGGCAAAACTATATACCAAATATCAAATCAATATCTTCAAGAACGAAGAAAAAAAGTGTGGAAAACTGATTTTGCCGGACTGACGGACGGACAGACGGACAGAGTGCAAACCTAAAGTCCCCTTCTACTTCGTCGCTAGGGGACTAAAACAAGTGTGGAAAACTGATTATTTGAGCAAAATTTTTAAGTCCAAGAACCATAACTCTGCAAATAAAATGCTTCGCTGAGCGCAGCTGGATACGACCGCAGAGGTCCAACCCTGAACAGTTGGGGCAAAAATGGACACAATATTCGCCCTTGATACAGGTCTGAATTTGGATTGTAATTAAATATTTGACACATAATAGGTTTCTGACACAGAATAACTGTAGTCGAAGAACTTAGAATTGGTTATATGATTTGAATTTATATTCAATTTTTTTGTTTTTGAGCAATTCACTATGCTGTTGCGAATTGACCCCCACCCCCCCAAAAAAAAAAATATTTGAAGAAATTTTCTTTTTAATTTCTGAAATCTGAAATGAGAAAAAATTGTCCCCCCCTCATAATTTCTTTTTTACCCCCCCCCCCCCCCCCCCCCCCTTTTTCCAAAAAAAAAAATTCTTTCCCTCAAGATATGGTCATAATCTCAATTCAAATTTCCAATGGAGTTTGCAACCATAAATACCCATTTAAAAAAAAAATCATAAAAATCTTAAAATAGAAAAGGACATACATAATCATGGCTAAAATTAATATATTAACCCTTTCAACGCTACATAAAAAATAGAAAAATGGCTGCTGCTGCTGCATTTTTTTTTTGTGTTCATTCATTAGACCAGTATATATTCCTTTTCAGACTGCTGTATCTTTTTTATTATAAGAGATACAGACAAAGTTAGTGCATGAAAAATGCTCAGGAGAGCATGAACTGTAATGTTATGCAATTATTTTAGTAAAGTTTTTATCAGGCTACCTGCATTTTCAGGTAATTAACAGATAAAAGGTGTAAATTATTGTATTTGTGCTGAATTTTGAATAATTTTCAGTCAACCTCCATTTCCCCCCTTTTTCTACGTCTCGTCTGGGAACAGTATATCTAACGGGAAATGAATCTGATACGCTTTTCAGTATAAAATTGATAAAATCTCGGACTCCCCGAGACTTCCCAAGATTTACGGATTTTGGTAGCGTCTGACTGAAAAACTATCAGAACTGCTCAACAAATAAACCACATAACTCTAATTGTAAATAAATACAAGTTTTATCATTTAGTAGATATATTTTGTCATATAAAATTACCAAAATAAGTTTGATTTATTTGATGTGAAGTGTTTTATAATAGTTTGGGAATTTGTAAATCATCGCGGCAATGGCCGCCATTTTTTTATTACCTGGTTTGCATTCTGCACAATTCTGTGATGAAATGCTTGCGATTTTAACAAATTTGAAGTGACAGAATACAAGTTTGATACACTAGCATCACTATAAAACTAGTTTGAATGACATTTAATTGATAATATAAGAAATTATTAGGATAATAGCGAGTCCGTTTTTAACACATGTCCGTTTCTGTATCGTATCTTTATTAACTATGGCACGACGATAAAATCGACTACAATCAGGTAGTGTCAAGTCCCGTCAATATATATGTTCCTGGTCTCGTAAAGATCGATCAAATCATATTTCCCACACGAATTGAATGTAATAAACACATTGAGATAACGGGAAACCTTTTAACTAATCCTCGTTGTCAGTTTCGCCATAGAAATGCTGAAATATTTCCATATTTACAGTGTCTTTTTTCGATTTCCGCCATTTGCATTTGTCAAAATATTTGTTTTTATTTTCCTTCTACTGCATGATTTTACCATAAAAATTCCCGGGATTTCAAGCACAACTGGGACCTTGTATATCCTCGATTCATATGAGGAAAAATTAGAGAGGACACAAATGAAAACCGAATGGTTTAAGAGGCTGGATGAAAAATCCGTTGTCATCGCGGCATATGCAGCGAATAGCAGTGGTGGACGGCGTACGTCATCGGGGCATATGCCCTGTATAGCGTTGAAAGGGTTAAATATTCCTTAATCAGCATTTTCAAATAGTAACTTCTAAAAATAAATTGACAGCTAATCACCTTAAGACAATACAACATTTCTTTATACATAATTTAAAAGCAGTGTAAGGGAGGTAATCCAAACTTAACATTGTACTTTTTTTTAATTGTCCATTAACCAGGAAACCCTTGTTTTTCCCCCTTTTTTCCCTTAATTCCTAAATGGTTTGAGCCATAACCCCCCAAAGCCAATCCTAACCATCCCTTTGTGGTATGGAAACTTGTGGTATAATTTCAGAGATCCATACATTGTTCCACAAGTTATTGTCTGGAATCTAAAAAATGCTTATTTGGGCCTCTTTTTGGCGCCTAATTCCTAAACAGTTAGGACTATAACCCCCAAAATCAATCCCAACCTTCCTCTTTATAAACCTTATGTTTAAATTTCATAGATTTCTATTAACATTTACTAAAGTTATTGTCCGGAAACCAAATGTCTTTGGACGACGCTGACGACACCGACGTGATACCAATTTAGACTGCAAAATTTTTTGCGGTTGTATAAAAACTAAGTCTATTTATCAGTAAAATATGGAAAAAGGAAAATAAATATTTCCAAAATTTTACCCTTAATACTGTATTTTGGTCATAAATAAGCCTTCTGTCACAATTTCATAAAATTTCATGTAGGTTTGACAAAGATATTGATATCCAAAAAAAACTTTAACCACAGACTGAACCTAAATGTTGACGCCGCTGACGACGGAATCTATGATCACTATGTCTCGCTTTTGCGAAATAAATTTTGCAGGCTCGACAAAAATGACCTAAAAGAGTTTGAACACATATATTCATGAAATTGTATATATCTTACATGTAATATGTTGTATGTATGTCATGTACATGTATATGTTTTAATTGTTGGAAATAAAAAAATCAAAATTAAAAAAAAAATATATATTTGTTAATCGCATTCTGACTTTTTAAATGCCCATTCAATTAGGTATGTAAAATTTTTTCTACATGAGATAATTATATATATAAGTGGTAAATAGGGTAGAATAAAATGCTCCGCTGGGGCGCAGCTTGATACGACCGCAGAGGTCGAACCCTGAACAATTGGGGCAAGTATGGAAACAACATTCAAGCTTGATACAGCAATGAATTTGGATTGTAATTAAATATTTGACACAGCATAGGTTTCTGACACAGAATGAAAGTGGTCTAAGAACTTAAAAATTTTTAATTTACCTATTCAAACCATATCATTATTATTTGCTTTATATATAAATCAGAAATAACCAATTTAAAATGGTAAATTTTAAAGAAAAAAAGGAAAAAAAAAATCCCCCCCCCAATTTTTTGAACCCCCTTATGATTCATCACCCCCAAACTCAATCCCAGCCTTCCCTTTGTGGTATGGTACCTTGCAGTACAATTTCAGAGAGATCCATACACTTGAACACAAGTTATTGTCTGGAAACTAGAAAAATGCTTGTTTTTTGGCCCCTTTTTTGGCCCCAAATTCCAAAACGTTAAGGGCAATTACCCCCAAACTCAAACCCAGCTTTCCCTTTGTGATATGGAACCTTGTAGTACAATTTCATAAAGATCCATACACTTACACACAAGTTATTGTCCTGAAACTAGAAAAATGCTTGTTTTTTTGCCCTTTTATGGCCCCTAATTCCTAAAATATTGAGGCAATTACCCCCAAAATCAATCCCAGCCTTCCCTTTGTGGTATGGTACCTTGCAGTACAATTTCAGAGAGATCCATACACTTGAACACAAGTTATTGTCTGGAAATTAGAAAAATGCTTATTTTTGGCCCCTAAACTTTTCGGGCAATTACCCCCAAACTCAATCACAAATTTCCCTTTGTGATATGGAACCTTGTAGTACAATTTCATAAAGATCCATACACTTGAACACAAGTTATTGTCATGAAACTAGAAAAATGCTTGTTTTTTGCCCCTATTTGGCCCCTAATTCCTAAAATTTGGGGGCAATTACCCCCAAAATCAATCCCAGCATTCCCTTTGTGATATGGAACCTTGTGATACAATGTCAGAGAGATCCATACACTTACACACAAGTTATTGTCATGAAACTAGAAAAATGCTTGTTTTTTGCCCCTTTTTGGCCCCTAATTCCTAAAATTTGGAGACAATTACCCCCCAAAATCAATCCCAGCATTCCCTTTGTGATATGGAACCTTGTGGTACAATGTCAGAGAGATCCATACACTTACACACAAGTTATGTCTGGAAGTTACAATAAAATGCTTCGCTGGGGCGCAGCTTGATACGACCGCAGAGGTCGAACCCTGAACAGTTGGGGCAAGTATGGACACAAAATTCAAGCTTGATACAGCTATGACTTTGGATTGTCATTAAATATTTGACACAGCATAGGTTTCTGACACAGGATGAATGTGGTGTAAGAACTGGAAAAAATTTAATTTACCTATTATGGTGGAATATCCATAAACTAAATTGTTTGTTAATTTCAATATATCAAAGAATATGTAGAATTCAATGTTTGATGTAATGTAATAAAGTTGAAATTTGGACCGTTTTTGTTCAATGTGGACCAATTTGGTAACATGTATAAATAATCAAAAATCTAAATACATGGGAGCCCATTTAAATACATCATAAAGGTATTAAAATAGAAAGTGACATCATAGTCATGGCTAAAAATAAACAAAAATCCTTAATCAGCAACATTTAAAGTAATATCTAAAAATAAAATTCCTTTGTAACCATAAAAGCCCATTTAAATACATCATAAAGATATTAAAATAGAAAATGACATCATAGTCATGGCTAAACATAGCAAAAAACCCTTAATCAGCATCATTTAACAGTAATATCTAAAAATGGAAATTACATCATAAAGGTATTAAAATAGAAAATGACATCATAGTCATGGCTAAAAATAAACAAAATCCTTAATCAGCATCAGCAACATTTTATAGTAATATCTAAAAATAAAATTCCTTTGTAACCATAAAAGCCCATTTAAATACATCATAACAGATATTAAAATAGAAAATGACATCATAGTCATGGCTAAACATAGCAAAAACCTTAATCAGCATCATTTAACAGTAATATCTAAAAATAAAAATTTCTTTGCAACCATAAAAGTAAAATAGAAAATGACATCATAATTATAGCTAAAAATAAACAAAAATTTTTTTTATTGGCAAATTTTAAATGGAGTTTATTATACTAAAACAATAAATTTGCAACCATAAACATGATAAAACCCCATTTAAACACATCATAAAAGTATTAAATAATTCAACTACATCATAAGGCTATAAAAATAGAAAATGACTTCATAGTCAAGGCTAAAGGTAAACAAAAAACCTTCATCAGCAAAATTTTATATTGGCAAATTTCCAATGAAGTTTATTACACTAAAATTGTTGGCAAATTTCCAATGCATTTATTAACAATAAAGTTATTGGCAAATTTCCAATTTACATAATTTAAAAGCAGTGTAGATGAGATATTTAAATGAGTTTGAATTACCAACCTAACACTGCTTTTAAATAATGTTCTTTACTCAATTATTTGTCTATTAAAATGGAAACCCTTGTTTTTTAACCTTTTTTCCCCTTATTCCTTAAACATTAGAGCCATAACCACCCCCCACCTACTTTCTCTTCGTGATAAAAAATAACTAACTTAAAATGTAAATTTTAAACAAAAAAAAAAAGGAAAAAAAAAAATTACCCCTTTTTTGACCCCCGCCCCCCTTATGATTCATCACCCCCACCCCCCTTTCCCCCCAAACCAAGCTCAATAACAGCCTTGCCTTTGTGGTATGGTACCTTGTAATACAATTTTAGAGAGATCCATACACTTGAACACAAGTTATTGTCTAGAAACTAAAAAATGCTTATTTTAAACCCCTTTTAGGCCCCTTATTACTAAACGTTTTGGGCAATTACCACAACACTTAATTCCAGCTTTCCCTTTGTGAAATGTAGCCTTGTAGTAAAATTTCAGAAAGATCCATACACTTACACACAAGTTATTGTCATGAAACTAGAAAAATGCTTGTTTTTTGCCCCCTTTTGGCCCCTTATTCCTAAAATTTTGAGGCAATTAACCCCAAAATCAATCCCAGCATTGACCCTTTGTGATATGGAATCTTGTGGTACAATGTCAAAGAGATCCATATGCTAACACACAAGTTATGTCTGGAAGTTACAAAAGTGCTTATTTTCGGCCCCTTTTTGGCCCCTAATTCCTTAACTGTTGGTACCATAACCCCCAAAATCAATCCCCACCTTCCTATTGTGGTATTGAACCTTATGGTAAAATTTCATAGAGATCCATTCACTTAAACTAAAGATAGAGTGCGAAAACCATTGTGTATTCGGACGACGACGCCGGACGACGACGACGACGCCAACGCCGACGACGACGCCAACGTCATACCAATATACGACCTCAAAATTTTTTTGCGGTCGTATAAAAATGCTTATTTTTGGCCCCTAATTCCTTAACTGTTGGTACCATAACCCCCAAAATCAATCCCCACCTTCCTTTTGTGGTATTGAACCTTATGGTAAAATTTCATTGAGATCCATTCACTTAAACTAAAGTTAGAGTGCGAAAACTAATGTGTCTTCAGACGAAGACGCTGGACGACGCTGACGACGACGCCAACGTCATACCAATATACGACCACAAAAATTTTTTTGCGGTCGTATAAAAATCAAAACTTTGAACAGATTCGAAATCACCAATATGAGCATAAAAATTATCAAGTTTATTCCAACAAATTTTTGACTCTGCAAAAGTAATTAATTCCACTATTTTCAAAGGCTTTATTTGAATAATTACTAGGTTTTTAATCCAAGTGTACTAGTAAGTAGAATAGACAGTTAAGTGGTGGAACAATGACTTGAAGACGAAATAAATCTTTATTTGTAAGGTGTTTTGTGCAGTTTCAGAATCCAGTACATATTTGGAGCTTTAATGTTATTCGGTTATAGATGTCATTTTCCAAAAATTGAGTCAGTTGAAATGTTGGTGAATTCGTGATTTCCTTTTGAAGAACCTCAATATAAAATTTATGTCAAGCAATAATGATATTATTTGCAGCCTTATCAGCCGGGGCAAAAACAAATTCCTAGCTTTTGTTTGATACGAGAAATAGGGCTATTATTGTTGTTGTTTGGAGTAAAATGTTCTTTAAAATATTTAATACCTATACCAACTATGTTCATTACTGAATTAAAAAAAGAATTTGTATATCACTACTATATCGGTGCAAAAATCCTAAATGGTGATAAGGACTATAAACTTAGACTATAGAGATGGTTTTTTTTATGAATGAGTTGCATTGGTTGCCTCGAGGTCAATAGGGGTATAAGACTCATTTAACAATCTGTTTTTACTGTTATATAGTAACATAAGCATTGTGACATCGGAAATTTATGATGAATTTAAAAGTTGTCTGTAGCTCTTTGTCCACCATACACCTTATCGCTATTTGTCTGCCATTACTGGACATCACAGAGGTTCCATTAAAATTTTGATGTCACAAGAGAAAATGTCTGACGTCACAAAGGAAAAGTGGTTGTTGTACGACGTCAAAAGTTCAAGTGTCACAAATTCTAGGGTCAAGTGTCACAGATTCCCTAGTGATAAGGTCTATTAGCAGACATCACAGCCGTTCCAGTAAAATTTTGACATCAAAAGACAAAAGGATGTCTGATGGCACAAAAGACAAATTATTGTTGTATGACATCAGCAGTTCAAGTCTCACAATTTCTTTGGAAAATGGTGATGAGGTCTATTAGTTTGCACTCTGCGTGATTATTATGCTCTTAAAACAAATTGGGGGAGTCACTGTAGACAAAATTACACACCCATTTCTAAATTTGTAGGATATGGACTAAGCTGTTATGGTTTAAAAGAATATGTAACAATTCCTTTAACAAATTGTCTCATTTGTAATTTCCTTTGCATTAAATGTCGGCAATAGCTTAGACTATTGCAACTGATTGAACTGTTCATAGCTCTCTGCTTTGGATATTTACAAACAATTTTCTGATGGTAGCGGTTTATGTATTCTCAGTCCTCGTTTTGTCCTGAGTCAAACTTTTTCATTCATTACCTTTGGGGTTTTGATAAAGTCCATGTCGACTGACAGACTTTTATTTCTTTGCAAAATGTGAAATTTATGTCTCAGAATTTTTTAACTTCATCAGCGCCATGACACCTCCTTCCCGGAAGTGACATTATCCGAGTGAGGTGCGCTCTGTTACTAAAACTATTGTACGACATGCATGTGTGACTTACAGGAGATGGACAAACATCATTCATTTCTTTCCCTATATATATTTTTGTGAATCAATAAATTTTCAAATTAATATTTCGTATTGGATCCTTTCCAGTTGGTTTAGATCTATATCGTGTTGTGTATATGGGTCCCATATTCGATCATATCATATATTCCTTGGTCGATCTCACTAACGATATATATACGGTCTTTTTGCAATCTTTTGGGCAAAAGACTAGATTTCTTAATTCTGAGATTGATAATTGTAAATAAGAATAAATCAGAATAAAAACGTAAAGCTATAACTTAAATTTAGAAATTTGACTTGTGTTATGGCTAATATGTAGATGCCCAAGAAAATATGTGATTTAAAATGTATATACATTGATATTTATACAGATGAATTGTGTCGTACAGAACAGTTGGTGACAACAGTTGATTTTTCCTGCGTTTTTTTAATTCAATTCAGTTCAAAAGAATGTATTGAATAGACAACTTAACCGTTCAATTATTTCAACAAATCTTTATAACGAACGTGTCGATCGGTAACGATTGAATAACATTTGTTGAATCAATCAACTCAACTGATTACCATCGTTTGTTGAATCAATCAACTCAACTGATTACCATAGTTTGTTAACTCAATCAACTTAATTGTTTATGATGATGATTCGATCGTAACGATAGATACGATCGATAATGATTGAACAACATTTGTCGAATCAATCAACTCAATTAAATTGTTTATGATGAAGACTCAATCGTAACGATATATACGATCGATAACGATTGAACGTCATATGTCGAACCCACCATCACGTTTCTTTATGACCCTACTCGATCGTAACTATCGATAACGATTGAACATCGTTTGTCGATTCAATCAATCCAATTTGTTTAAGACGAAGTCTCAATTGTAACTATCGATAACGATTGAACATCATTGCATCGACATTTGTCGAATCAACCATCACAGTTTGTTTATGACCACTTCTCGATCGTAGTTTATCGATTCAATCAACTCAATATGTTAATGATGAAGACTCGATCGTAACGATGGAAAACAAATAATAATCCTGAGCTATTAGAATGGAATTTTCAGTGGGATATTTTCTATCGCGTACAAGTAGACTCTAATGATGGATTTAAATGTATAATCTTGAAATCTCCATGTACTCGTTACGTATTGTGTAAAAATAAATTAACTATTACTAGTATACCCTTGATCCGTAGGCTGTGTCAATATGCCTTATTGCGCCGTAGGCTGTGTCAATGTCCCGCCTATCGCCTTATACTTTGTCCTTGGGTTAGAGTTAGCTTAGGGTAATGATCACGCTGTATCTAATAAGCCATCTGACGGCGTAGGCTGTTTCCATGGATTAGAGTTATGTTAGGGTTAGAATTAGAGTTCGGGTTAGGGTAAGGCTGTATCGAATATTCCATCTTGCGCCGTAGGCTGTGTCCTTGGTTCTTGTCGTGCAGTTGTCTTACCCAAAACAGAATTGTCTGAGTTGATTAATCTTATACCATCGTTTATAATATGAAGATACAGTTGAATGAGTTGATTATATTGATCAACCGTGGCACAATCGTATCGTTGAATACTTGCTAATTACAGATCCATTAATGCACAACACAATTAAAATTTAGATTTTCAGATAATTTTTGGGTTCCAATCAACTGTATATATACATGTTTTTGAGGTTTTATTCTGTATATTTGATATAGTTCTTGTCTATTACTGATACTAATATACAAATAAGGAGATGTGGTATGATTGCCAATGAGACAACTATCCAACAAGAAGCAAGAATGTAAACAACTACTGTAAGTTTTATTTAATCTGTACACAGAAACTGGTGTTACACCAGATTAAAATGAAGATACAGTTGACTGAGTTTATTATATTGATCAACCGTGGTAAAATCGTATCGATTGATGATACGATCGAAACGATCGTGCTCCGTTCATTATATGAAGATATTGACGGCGTGCATATAGCTGAGTCTACAAACGTAACGTCTTCAAAATACTTTTAAATCATTTACGACGTCGACATTTTTTCCCAAGAAAACAAACGCGTAACAAAAACACTGGACACTTAGTTTCACATAACTTTAAACATAAACGGTAAACTTATTTCTTTTTTTTTTCGAACAACAAAGTGCAGCAAATACACATTCCGGAAATACAAATAAATATATGCTAAGAGCAGTCTAACGGAAATAATAAGCGACTATATGTCGTGGACTCTATTCAGAAAATAGCGTTAAAACGTCATTTCTTTAAATTGTAACATAATAGCTGGACTTTTAAAATTTTCAGGTGTTCAGCCTGGACTATCGAATCATTCATATTTTGCAGATATTTTTAAACTTCTTGTTATGCACATATGGAATATCAAGTTATTTCGAAATTGAAAAATAGCAATTACATATTTTTTCTTACCGATTCTTACATTTTCGAATATTAATTCTTCCAAATTACTACTTCTTACACATAACGAACTACATTCCAAACTCATCTTCCATGGCCGTTTTTGAATTTTGTTGCATTGAATTTCGTCTGACGTCATAGTCCGAATCCGAAAAATTCTATTATAAGAAAATGCGGGAAAATATGTTGAATTTGTATAAATTTTAGGTCAAAAACTCTATTTTATGCTTATTCAATGTTACAAGTTTCACCTATTTTTGCCGTTTTTTCTCTATGGTCGTTTCATACTTTATAGATTTAATTTTGATAACCTTACTAGTAATGTGGATTTTAATAGCTAGCATTCAATATTTAATCATAAAAAAACTTCCTATTTAAAGATATTTTAAACACGGTTGTATAAAACTACTTTTAAAAGCGCATTTTACAGTTGCCGTCAACTTTGTGCACGCCGTCATAGCTATAGTTGATTGAGTTGATTATATTGATCAACCATGGCACAATCGTATCGATTTAATACGATCGATATGATATTGCTCATTTTTCATCATGAAGATACAGTTGACCGAGTTGATTACATTGATCAGCCGTTGCAAACGTATCAATTGAATACAATCGAAACAATCGTGTTCCGTTCATAATATGAAGATGCAGTTGACTGAGTTGATTATATTGATCAACCGTGGCACAAACGTATCGATTGAATGCGATCGATACGATCGTGCTCCCTTCATTATATGAAGACACAGTTGACTGAGTTAAATATATGATCAACTGTACCATTTGTCGAATCAATCGATTGTCGAATGCTGTACCATACTCCACTGTATTCAGTTGTTTGCCATGATACAACAACTTGTAGTAGCATCATTCTCTGTACTATTGTGTGTGGGAAAATAAACATTTATAGCTTTTTTTATAGTACAGATATGATAAAATGTTTTTTGTTGTTTTTTTTTTAATTTGTGTACTTAGTATCAATCTGATTGTTAAAGCACTTGTTCAACTGACCTTTGTTCTATATTATTGCACTAACACCGCCGTCCTAGGTAAGGAGAGACTTGGGTGCTCGCTAAATGTTAACCCTGCCAAATTGTTGATGATGTGTTTGTCCCAAGCCAGGAGTCTGTAATTCAGTGCATGGTTGTTGTTAGCTGCTGTCTGTCGTTATTGTTTTTCCTATATATCTCTGTTTTGAAAAGTTACACAGTTGGTCATCATATTATAGGGTCTTTTATCGTGCTTATTAAACGACATGGGTTTTGCGTATTATTGAAGGCTAATTTCTGGAAAGACTTTATTTTGGATTCATACGACCAATTTTGGCGTATGAAAATGTGTGTTATTTGTTAATTCCAGGATTTACATAGTAAGTCTTACTATATAAATCCTTGGATAATTGTATAAGAGAAGAATCGTACCTAATTGAATCAGTACAATATGAAGCGGCCATAATTTGGACTTATTAGCGAATATGCGCCTTTTGATAAAAACTGTATACAGAGATTGGATAGAACTCATGACATCACAGATGTAAAAAGAAACCTAGAGTTATTGTTATATATACATTAAGCATTCAATTTGTATGTGTACCTTCCAAACTACATTAATTACTGAAAATGTGATGTCTCATGTAAAGACGGATGAGAACTCATGAGTTGCTTTAAATCCCTCGTGTTTTCAATCTACCTTTAGCATGGTTAGGAAAACTCAGTTTAAGAAGAAGAAAAATAGAGGTTCTTCCCTTTGTTCCCTTAATATTTGTAATGACATGGATAATCATTCACTAATTAGATATAGGAAGATGTGGTATGAGTGCCAATGAGACAACTCTCCATCCAAGTTACAATTTATAAAAGTAAACCATTATAGGTCAAGGTACGGCCTTCAACACGGAGCATTAGCTCACACCGAACAGCAAGCTATAAAGGGCCCCAAAAAATTACTAGTGTAAAACCATTCAAACGGAAAAACCAACGGTCTAATCTATATAAAAACGAAAAACGAGAAACACTTATGAACTACATAAACAGACGACAACTACTGTAATCAGATTCCTGACTTAGGACAGGTGCAAACATTTGCAGCGGGATTAAACGTTTTAATGGTACCAAACCTTCTCCCTTTTCTGAAACAGTAGTATAACATCACAACATAGAAAAACACACTATAAAATATCAATTGGAAGGCTTAACTCAATCAAAAAACGTAAATTAACACACAATGAGCGAATAAATTTGACCTGTGACACCTGAATCAGGGGCGGATCCAGGATTTTGGAAAGGGGGGGCGTAGCATTAAATTTTTTGGACCTTTTTTGGCTAAAAAACCATAAAATAAGTGTAAAATGCATTTTATAGTTAACGTGTAGGGGTTGGACATTTTTGGTGCCGTATTCTCTCCATCAATTGTCTATTATAAAATGATTGGATGGATCCAAAGCTATGTACTAATTGATATATTTGATGTGGTATTTGTCAGTAAAAAAGGGACAAGGAAAATTCTCGTTTGT